CCTGCCCTAACAATGAAATGCCTCCTAAGCCCTTTCAAGTAGTTCCACTCCCTAATGACCAAGCATTCAAATATGTGAGCCTATGGGAACCATTCTTATTCAAACCACCATATTCCACTCCTTGGCCCCCATAGACTTGTAGCCATCTCATTATGCAGAATGTATTTAGTCCAACTTCAAAAGCCCCCACAGTCTATAACAGTTTCAACACAGTTTACAAGTCCAAAGTTCAAAGTCTCTTCTGAGACTCAAGGCAATGTCTTAACTGTAATCCCCTATAAAAATAAAAATTAAAATGCAGATCACACACTTCTAACATTCAATGGCACAGCATGTGCATTGCCATTCCAGAAGGGAGTGAAGGGAGCATAGTGAGGAAATACTGTACCAAAGCAAGACCTCAACCCAGCAGGGCAAACTCCAAACTCTGCATCTCCATGTCTGATGTCAAAGCACCCTTCAGATCTCCAACTCCATGCAGATTTGCTGACTTCAACACACTTCCTTCTCTTGGACTGGTTTCACTCCCTGTTAGCAGTTTTCATCGACAGGTATCCTATAACTCTGGCATCTCTAAAATCTTGGGTTCTCCAAGACAATCCAGGCTTCACCTTCACAGCTTCACACAGTGGCCTCTCTGAGCTCCGTGCAGGAACACCCCTGACACATGCCTGGCCTCAGCAGCTTTCCTCGGCCATAGAGGGAGATTCCACAGCCCCTTTCTTGGATCCTTGACTCTAAAGCCAGCACCACTGGCCAACTTGCTAAGTTCTGCTGCTTACTGGGGAGGGAACTTGCTAAGTTCTGCTGCTTACTGGGGAGGGAACTTGCCCCCGCCTTGTTCTAATACATTTTCACCAGCTTTTTGTTGTCCGAGGCTTAAGCTTTTCTTTAACTCCTTTCCCCAAGTTGGAAACTTTGTTGGATGAGGTCTTACCTTGAGGTCATCACTCCCTTTATCCTATTTAGCACCAGGCTTTTCTTTAAACCTTTGATCTCCTGAACAGAAGACTTGGCCCCGTTAAGCTTCCTGGTGCTCCTTTTCCTTTCAAACTGTACATTTTGTATTTTTCCTTGCTCAGCTGGCTCCTTTTTATTATAGATCTGCATAAGAGTGGCCACTTATAACCACGTGATAGAGTCAGTAGTAGACTGCCTTGAAACCTCCCCTGCCAAGGCCATTAACCCCAAACTCTTCAACTTAGCCTCAGGCAGATTTTTAGGACAAGGCAAAAAGTAGCCACATTCTTTGCCAAAATATCACAAGAACAGTCTCTAGGCCACTTATTAATATTCTTCTCCTCTGAAACTTGTTGAGCCAGCCCCACATTGGTTTTAGAATTGTCTTCCAGGATCCCACTAGTGTGGCCTGTTAATCCCCCACTTAACACATTCAATTGCTTTCCTAATCCAAAGTCCCCAAGTCCACATTCCACCAGCAAGCAGCATGGTCAGGTCTGCCACTGCAATACCTTGAACCTTGATCCCAACTTCTGTTGTCACTGTTCTGTTGCTATGAAGAGACATCATGATCAAGGTAACTCTTATAAAGGAAAGCATTTAATTGGGGCTTGCTTACAGTTTCAGGGGTTTATTATCATAGCAGGGAGCATGGTGGACAGCAGGCAGAAGTACCCGAGAGTTCTATATCTGGATCTGCAGGCAGGTGGGAAGATCTGAAAACCATTCTTACTGGTGAACCAGGAAAGCCCAAGGCTAGAGCAGGCCTTTCCAAATAGCCCCTGTGGCATTTCCAAGGGCTCTGGCACAGTTGAGCAAACCTCGTTATCTAATAAACAAGAAGAAAGCTGCTCTCCCTGCCCGACTTTCTGATGGGCTTGGCCCTCTTGATGGAAGCCCAAATATGGAGTTGAGGGAATGGTCTGGGCTGCCTCATCAGAGAGTAGCCATCCTGTAGCTCCATGCCCTTCTGTCCCTTGTGGTACTAGTAAAACTCTGTCATCTGGGTTTATTGCTGTGAAGAGATATCATGACCACAACAAATCTTATAAAGAAAAGCATTTAATTGGGACTGACTTATAGCTCCAGAGGTTTGGTCCATTATCAGCATGGAGGGACCCACAGCGGAGCACAGGCAGGCGTGGTTATAGAGAAATTGCTCAGAGTTCTACATCCAGATCAGTAGGCAGCAAGAAGAGAATGACACTGGGCCTGGCTTGAGCTTCTGAAACTTTAAAGCCCATCTCCTGTTACACACTTCCTCCAACAAGGCCACACCTCTTCTACAAAGCCACACCTCCAATAATGGCACTCCCCACAAGTCTATTGAGGGGGGGCATTTTCATTCAAACCACCACATGCCCCAAGTTTCTGGTGGCTTGTTCTGGGTGACATAGGAGCATGGAGGAAGTGGCTGGATTTGGATTCTAGGCGAGTGTGTTGCCTTTGGGAGGCATCTGTACTGAGGCAGCACATGTGTGAGGAAGCAGGGTCCTGCCTAAGCCAGGACATAGGAGTAGTAATGTGGGAGTGTGCTGTGGGATGCTCCGTATGTCAAATTACTCTGATTGGTCAGCAAATAAAACACTGATTGGCCAGTGGCTAGGCAGGAAGTATAGGCGGGACTAACAGAGAGGAGAAAAGAAAGAACAGGAAGGCAGAAGGAGACACTGCCAGCTGCTGCCAGGACAAGCAGCATGTGAAGATGCTGGTAAGCCACGAGCCACGTGGCAAGGTATAGATTTATAGAAATGGGTTAATTTAAGCTATAAGAACAGATAGCAAGAAGCCTGTCACGGCCATACAGTTTTTAAGCAATATAAGTCTCTGTGTTTACTTGGTTGGGTCTGAGCAGCTGTGGGACTGGCGAGTAAGAGAGATTTGTCCTGACTGTGGGCAAGGCAGGAAAACTCTAGCTACAGGAGTTGGGTGTAGAAATTCTGCCAGGGAGATGGGAAGATAGCTCAGTTGGTTAAAGTGCTTGGGCTGCAATGATAAAGACTCTGTGAGAGACCCTGCCTCAAAAACATGTGGAGAACAATTGAGAAACACACCTGACATTGACCTCTGACCTCCATATGCACCCATAGACGTGTGGTGTACCACTCTTCTGATAGGTGTATGCAATTATATACACATGCACATGTGTGTGAGCACATGCTTGAGTGTGAGTGTGTATACACGTGCACACATACACTTACATGAAGAAAGGAATTGGGGGATTTTAACTTCTCCAGTGAAAAATGGATCTAAGAGTCAGTATGTCCTTTCTTCAAGAACAGAAAGTGGTGGTGACAGGTGGGCTGAGTCAGACATGGACTGGACTGCACTTAGCTTTCTCTGCTTTTCTATCCTGAAACCTAAGATAAGAAATATCACATGCATGATGGCCAGAGATTGTTAAGATAATAGAAGAACAACTTCTCAAAAACATATCATATTATTACTTTGTGGCATGTGTGTCCTGGAAGTATTTCATGGCTCAGCCTGAGATGAAGTGAGAGATCAGAGAAGGCAGCCAGCAGGATGTAATATCATCTCACATCCCCTCCTAAGTGTAAGTCATGCCTGCCTCTATTATCAGGATGTTCTCATGCCAGGACTGCAAAGCAAAAGTCTGAGAGTTCTCCTGCCTTGGACTGTAAGCCTTGCCTGCTGGTCTAAAAGAAAATCCTGCAGAACCTAGTCTGTACCAGTGCAGCCTCCAGGAATGACACCCAATATGGAGATACTGGGTTCCCTGACTTACAGAAAAACTCAGTTACAAAGGCCCTGCTCTTGGGTGCAACAAATGCCTGTCGAGGTTAGAAAACATCCTCCAAACTCCTGGGTCTCACTGTTCTTGCTCAGAGGAAGCAAGGGTCCTGCATACTGCACCATACTGTTTCCAGAGAGCAATGGAGATCCCCACAGTGAAGCTACACAAAAATGCTTAATATTTTGAATCCCTACTTGATTATTCACAAAAACTGCAGTATGCAGATAACTTCGGTTGGGCCCATTCCAACTTGAAAACTGCAGGTAAAAACACACACCTAAGAATTCATAATTAGACAATGTTTATTGCCATAACCTAAGCATTTAGACTGTTGAATGTGGGTTAATCTTGGATAGATTTAAAATACCACCTGTTCCTGTCTGTTAAAAAAAATATTATAATTGTAATTTCTTCTTCACTCAAGTGCTTAATCCCCACACGCTTCATTTCATCTTTTGAATAAATAGCTGGATTCAGAAAGCCGCTGTCAGTCAGAGAGCAGGCAGGTGGCTCTTAATGTATAGTGGTCTCTGGGTGTGGCAGACCTGTGGGTCACAAAGGAGCTTCTCCATGAGACATCCCTGGATGGAGTCACTTGGTCTCATTCAGGAGCAGAGGATGTGCTCCTTCCTATGAGAGAAAAGATGTTCTGAAGGGAGTGAGGATGATGCTGACAAAGGCCCCTTGCCTGGGTTCACAGAGCACCAAGGTGTCCCACCCCATGGAAGAGCCCTGCTTCTGCCTGACAGAGGTTTATAAGAGTTCTTCCGACTACCTCAGCCCAGGGTTTTCCAAGGGTCGAGATGAGAACAGAAGGGGTAAGGCTGGTGCTCCTGATTAATCCTGTTATTTTTGCCTTCTCTGCAAGGTCAAAAGTGTCTTAGATAAAGGCTCACCCTACATGCCTTGCTTCCATTAAAGCCAGAAAGAAGGGTTCATCTCACTCAGTGGCATCCTAGCTAAGAACCCCAAGTAGCCAAGGTAGGGGACCTGACGATTCTCAGTCACAGGCAACTCTGTCCTCTGAGAAGATTTGTCCATAGATTTTTTTCATTGTCATGGGGACAGGATAATCCTGGCATCCATCCAGTTGGGAAAGACCAGGCACGCAGCTGACAGTCCTGTAATGGACTTTACAGTCCCACAGCAAGCAGTGATCAATGGTGCCAAGACTGGGGGACCCTGTAACTGGCTTTGGCGCCTAATGAGACCGATGTAACCACTTGTGGAACTTTGCCTTTGTGACTGTGAGCCAGAGTAACAGTGACATCACCTCTTTTCCCAGAGGGTCAACCACACACATTGAGGCAACAGAGAAGACATAGCAGGTAATGCCCAGAACTGTCTGCCTCTGCCCGCTGAACACCCTCCATCAACCTTGCCCAGCCTTTGTTCATATTGATTTTGCACTCAGACACTGTCTCATAGGTCCTCATTAGCCCATGTGTGGACCAAGACAACTGTTTTTCTCCACTGTGCTCCAAATGTGACACTCAGGATGGGTGAATTGGACTCCCCAGCAGAACTGAGAAAAGGCCCAGACAGGCCCTGAGCTGTCCCCAAGAAATCAGGAAAGAGGAAGCAAGACGGAGGCCAAGGCTGCCCCAGAACTGTCAAATACACCACCAAACCTAACTGACCCCTCTGGCAGAGCAAGAGCCATGATGCAGAAAAAGAAACGGGAATTAACTGAAGTGAAGGAAGGGAGGTAGATGTGGGATCCTATCTGTACAGGTCAGCCCGGTAGCCGTAGGATTAGAGAGGTCTGTGGGAAAGCAAAATCTTAATTTTAGGTTCCTCAAATGAACCAAGTTATCTACAAATGGAAAAATCCCTCAAAGTGGAGTGTTCTATAATAACGCATTTAAAGGTAGTCACTTTTTACAGGTTTATCTTGACTTCATATTAAACGTACACCCCAAGGTTAATGCACACATTTAAAGAGTTGGGCTAGGGATTGAAGTGTGGGATGAGGACAGGCATGGGGGGGGCATGCCTTCCGTGGGACTTGATGATCGGAGGAGCAGGTGTGAGAAGATGAACTGTACCCCTGGTGTCCCAAGAACTATTTCAAGATGGTCACCTCCAGTTAGAGGTTGATCCACAGCAAGAGGGAGACGTTCCTTTGTCAAAGCTTCCAGTGCTGTGACCAGATCCTTTTATAACCTAAAGTGGTCTAACAGTTTTTAGGGATATAGTTACTAAATTTGCTTATTTAGAGGGAGGCTCCCGTAGGGGGTGGGTCAGACTGAGCAAAGGAGCACAAAGACCCCCCACACAGTGCTGAGGCTCCCCGAGTGGTGGTGTGGACCTGAGAGTGATTGAAAGACACTCGAGTCATTCAAAGACTGAAGTTGGATGGCCTAAGGATTCACGCAGGTGCTCTGAAGGTCACCCTAGGCTTGCTGGTGTTAACCAGCTGGGTGACACATCCTGTAGATGGTTAGGGCACCATGGTGAGAAAATACAGCCTGGAGGAGACAGCCAGCAGGGACGCCGAGGTACAGAATGCTGGGAAACGACACTGACATGATGTTTGTTAAGTATGTGTCAGTCTCTGTGTGTGAGTGTGTGTGTATATGTGTGAGTGTGTGTGTTTGTGAAAGAGAGTGTGTACATGGATGTATGTGTGTATATGACCTGAGAGTACACGTCAGTCTGTGTGTATGTGTGTGTGTGTGTGTGTGTGTGTGTGATGTATGAGTGCATGTATTAGTGTATGTGTGTAAGGAGTGTGTGTGTGTGTGTGTATGTGTGCATGTATTAGTGTATGTGTGTAAGGAGTGTGTGTGATGTATGAGTGCATGCATTAGTGTATGTGTGTAAGGCGTGTGTATGTACTAGGGGTTCAAGGTGTTTGCAGTGGGCAAAGGAAACCAAGAGTGCATGGTAGCTGGGGAAGGGACTCCTTGAAGAGGACGAGAGGATGCGGGGAAGTACTCAACAGCAAGAACAGCCAGAGGCCTCGGAAATGGGGGACAGAGTAGGGTGGGGAGGGAGCTCACCAGTGTTCGCAGCACTCGGTGCTGTGGGAAATCCTCAGTTATTAATTTTTTCACATACTTTCAGCACATCCAGGTTCAGGCTACTCTTAAGAGGAGACACTGCTAAATTTCCCTACAGAGAAAGATCTGCACTTCACACTCATTTCAGAAAATTTAAGACCAATGGCTATTGAAAACAAAACCGAGAATGTAGGGTTCGTGCTTCCCTTCAGGCAATCAGTATGTAAGGCTTGAAGCTCTCAAAATTTGTAAAATATTTTTAAGACAGTAAAAGCCCACCACACAGAATGCTGAATAACGAGTCTGTTAAATAAGGAAATGAAGATGGTGTTTAACAGTTTTGTTACTCGATTTCACATCAGGTGCTGCAGTCAACAAGATGGCCGACTTCGATAGAGCCCACCAAAGACAGCATCAGGCTTCTCCCAGGAGCCACTATAATGCAGAAGTGCCCATGGGTTGGGTTGTTATGGGAGAATCCACAACCCACTTCACGTTTGGTTTCTGAAGCAAACAGCAGTTCTACAGCAGGAGGCGTGAGTGGGTGTGTTTGATGTGGAGTCTTTGCTTGAAGGTTCAAATGCTTCTCTCCCTGTCCATCAAGCAGCCCTGAAATACGGCTGATGAGGCAGCCTGTGGTTGACGCCTGTCAGCCCAGATTTCAATCAGCCCTCCTCAGCCACCTTCTACCTTAGGAAGGCTGTGTCAAGGCTCTGTGATATTTTTCACTGGAATGTGATGATTCATGCCTATTTTGGAGCAGAGAGAATATTTACATTCTCAAAGCAATCACAGATTGGAGATAGTTAAACTAAATTTTGTATTTCACCCTGGCAAATAAATTTATAGGAAATACAATTATTTATAACCTGGTTACACACCACAGTAAATAACAGAATTGAATGACTTTGGGGAAAAGTGTCAGCTATCCATACAAATTTCTGCTGCTGGAGTATTTTTAGAGACAACTCAGTACTGTAGGCACTGGTGGGTGACAATGAAGCCTTTTAAGAAGCCAGAGGAGTTTATTTTCTGATCAGAGGTCTGGATGATCCTCTACCCACTCACATTGGCTTATGCCTAGGTACATCACCTACAATGCCAACCCGTTGATCAAGCCATTCAAAGGGATGCCACTGCCTTCTTAAAGAATGATTTCCCACAGTTCTCTGAGCAATCTTCAATATATTGACTTTAAAGTCTATATATTGCTCCGAGTCCCTAAATCCTAAGAGATTCACGTAAGCTCGGAAAGTTCAAGAACCTATAAGAAGATCTGCATACCTGTACCACATCCACCGGGACAAACCTGAGGCTCACATGTGCATCCAGAAATGCCCTCCCACCTGGATTTTAGATGGAAGAGTCCCTGGTCTGGGAGCATTGCAAAAGAAGTCCCCCCAAAGCAGGGATCACCACAGCCTTGCTTGAGTCTCCAAGGCTGCATACTCCAGCTCAGCTCACGACGCTCAGAAGGAGCTCCCAGCCAGATGTGCAGCAACACATCAAAGACACATGCTTTCACACATATGTGTTAGCACCACATCCATAGACTAAAACTCTCGCAGTGAAGTTGTATCCCCCCCCCCCCCGACTGTCATTGGGCTGGATGAAGGATCTGACTGACCACCCATCCACAAGGGCCACTGAACCTGTGTCCTCTTTCCACAGTCATCCCATTTCCTGATTGATTGGAGCACTCTGACCTTGGAGCTGAGGCCCAGGTGGAAGCACAGATTTCCTTTCTGGTGTAAGAAGTGCCCTGCTCTGTGCTCACAGCCGTTCCCATGAAGTCCTTTACACATGGCTGTTTTCCACCCTTTTGGAAGTCAGGGACACGGAGCCACCATCTTCTCCCACACACTGTGTGGAATGGAAGCCCACATATCAAACAAAGGACCACTGCTCACAGGCAGCTGTGCCCTGCCACAGTGAGCATTGGTTTTCATGCTGTACTACCCCAAGGCCCTCTGCCCACAAAATTCATCTGAATCGCTTGCCCACGAATAGCAATCTGGATGCTGACACAGAGGGAGAATTTGCCATCTTTTATCCGTAAGGCCTTGGACATGGAGCTGGAGAGTCTGCCTAGAGTCCTCCATGGTTCCACCTTCTAGCCTGCAAACTGGATCACTGTAGCCCACGGCACCTCTGGGTATGAGTGAGGTGCAGGGCTTAGGTGAGCATGAGGGTCCCGGCAGCTCTTAGAGGCAGCCATGGCTTCGGCCTCCATGTTAGTCTCTGTGGTCATATATTGTGTACCCTAATAACATTTGCCTGAAGATCAGAGAACAGAACCAGCTACTAGATTAAACATAGAGGCCAGGCAATGGTGGCACACACCTTTAATCCTAGTACTCGAGAGGCAGAGATCTGTCTGGATCTCTGTGAGTTCAAAGCCACCCTGGACTACATGAGATTGATTCAGTCTAGGAGAGAAACAAAGCCAGGCAGTGGTGGCACACACCTTTAATCCCAGTGCTTGGTAGGCACACACGCCTTTAATGGCTGGGTGGAGGAAGGTATATAAGGCATGAGGAGACAGGAACTAAAGGCTTTTCAGCAGAAGCATCCCTTTCGGCTAAAGGCTTTTTCAGGCTGTGGAGTCCTAGAAGTAAGACATGGCTTGTTCCGTTGTCTCTTTGATCTTTCAGCATTTACCCCATTATCTGGCACTGGGGTTTGTGATGTGACTGGGGCCACAGGATGAACTGCAGCTTCAGCCTTGCTCTGTCTCTCCAGAGCATTGCCAGGAAGCCAGCTGCCACTGTGCTCCATGTCACTTGCAGAGGGCGCTGGGGAGAGACCCTGAGACCTCTGGGTCAAGTCCACATTTCTGAGCACCCTTAAGACCCTCAGAGGGGGACCTAGCTGGAGGGGGAGGGGAGCCTTTTCAGTCCCTCAGAGGGGGACCTAGCTGGAGGGGGAGGGGAGCCCATTCAGACCCTCAGAGGGGGACCTAGCTGGAGGGGGAGGGGAGCCTCTTCAGAGCTTCCACCAGAGCCATCCTTTTGCCCACCTCTGACCTTCAGGAACTCTGCAAGGTCACATATCACACATGTTGGCTTCAACAGCCCTTTAGGCTTGAGGCTGGTTTGTTATACAAGAGATAACTGATACAGATGACAATATGACCCTTTTAAGATGGCAGGTTCAACACTGTTGATTTTTGAGATTATACCTATTTTTTATAATTTCCATCTGCAGTCTATATGTCGTAAGTCAACACCATCTGTCAAATTGGGGCTTCATGTAGACACATGAATACATGTATATATTCAATAATTAAACACACACATGTGCATTGAGTAAGTTACCACTTAATTTGTAGATAATAAACCAAACTAAAACTAAACACTGAGATTCCTTGACGCAGAGCAGGTGACACAATCCCTCTGCCTTTTCTTGCCAGCTGTAAGTTCCATGCCTCATTGTTTACCTAGTACTGGAGCTGGCAATGGAAAGCTGTCTTGGGCCAGCATCACCGAAATGCCCATGAGAGGAGCTTTGGACTCTTGTCTGTTCATCGTTGAAGTGTTTGTTTTCTCCCAGGACCTTATCCACCACAGAACTGAAGGTGATGTCCAGAGTAACAGCCAGGGATCGGAGTTTAGCCGGGTGTCCCATACTTAGAGCGCTGCGGCATAATCACACAGAGACCCAGGCTGCTCTTCTGTCACCTCCAGTTGCAGGGAGGAAGCTGAGGCATCAGAAACAAAGCATCTGGGCCAAGTGCTCACAGGTCTTAAGTCATTGCAAATGCAACCCAGCTGTTGGGAGCCTTGATGTGACCAGGTGAGGCACAGGGGTGCAGAGAAACTAAGAGGTGGTGGCTGAACAGAGGTAACCTGGGGCAGGAAAATGACCCACTCACTCTGTAGGATCTGAACATGAGCCACAGCCACATCACAGGGGCCAGAGAAGCAGCAAAGGCTCCAGCCACCCAAGGGAAGGCTGACTGGGAAGTCCTGCCCTGGCCTTTAACACCCACAGTCCAGCAGAGGCTGGACAGCAGCTCAGCCCAAGGGATGGCTACAATTCATGGCATGGCCTTCAGAAGAATATTCTACCCATTGTACCCCCCTACCTACTACTGAGCATCTTCATGGGGGTAGGGAGAGGGAGCAGCTGAATTCTGCTTGCCTGTGACAGGTGGATTGGGGAAGGAGGCTATAGCTAAATTGGGGGGGGGGATGTGCTAATTGTAAAGTGTGGATTCTGTTAGGCAGACAGTGAGTGAGGATAAACAGCCACAGACAGAAAAAAAAAAAGATATTTTTTCCCACAGGACTTGGTCTGCAGTGAATGGAGGGACTGTGTCAGAGACTCTTCCTGTCACCCCAGCACACTGCCTTCATCCCAGTACAAGTCAAAGCCAACATCCAGCTGGGTTTCTTTCTCATCCTTTTTGTCTTTGTTCACACGTGGGCCACTAACCATGGAGAGAGTCGAGCCTCACTTTTCTCACTGGGTTTTCAGCCTGTGAATATCACCCCTAAAGAGAGAAGCTCAATGAAAAGAGAGGGTTGCTATCTTTCTGAGGTGGGTACACCTCAGCAGGAGTCAGGAGGATTTAGAGAGCGGAGGTTGTGTTAGGCAGGGCTGTCCATCAGACATGAACCAGCAGAATGTGCGTATATACAGTGAAAGGGATTCACTGGGCTGGCTTATGTGCTACAGGATGGGTCAAGAAGAAATGACTGTACCTTAAAGAGGTTGAGAACCCAGTACTTGCTTAGTTTGTTTAGTTCTCGAAACTGGACAAACTAACTGGCCCAGTCTGGTGCTGGCAGCCTGGTGGATTCTCAGACAGTTGCTGGCACTTGACTGGTCCAGGTGGGAGGGCTGGGAAGCTGGAATCTGATATGAGCAGGAGAGGGTGGTGGTGGCAGCGGGAAGCAGCAGAGGCAGGTGAGTGACACTGCTATTTCCTGGGACCTCTCCATATCTGGGTCACCTTGCTGGGAGGTGCCAATCATACTGACAGCAGGTCTTATCCCCTCAGCTAATCCTCACAGATGCCCAGAGGTGTGTCTCCTAGGTGACTCCCAGTTCCATCAAAGTGACAGCTCAGATTAAACACAGCAAGAGTTTGAGCAAGAGGACACAAAGCTCATTGTGCGACCCGCTCACTCACTTCCTAGGTGCCACCGGAGGCGTGCTCACTGCTCAGGGGACATTTTCCCAGCATGCTGAGCACATGACTCAGTGTATGTTTTGCTTTTATTTAGGATAAGTGGTAAACCTTGAGGGCAGGAAACGGCCCATCTTTCTGTTCTACCCGTAATTAGACAGTACAAACCCACAAGCTGTGAAACTGATGGGCTGTGGACCATCAGTACAGGCCATCTCCAGAGCTGGGATTACAGCAGAATGGCTCTTGGGACCGGCAGCATATGCTTCCCCACTGACTGAGCTTCCAAGGCTTAATAAAAAGAACCATAAGGTACATGCCAAGAGAATGAGGCTGTCACAGGTATGACATCACACCACTTCATTTGACTTGGTAATTAACATGTGTCCTCCAATCAATCACCAAAGGCACACTTAAGAGTAGGGTTGGTGGTTGCTAGAGTCTCCTGTGAGAAGCTTGAGGTCAGGACCTGAATGTTCTTGCCCCTGGTAGGACTAGCACTGCAGTGTTCTTCCTGGTCTTCAGAGAAGGTGGGAACCTCTCTAGTAAAAAGCACAGGTCACCCTGTGAACCAGCATGGCGGGTGGTGTTTTGCTCTATGCCTGTCTGCATGATTCTGCTGATAGCAAGCAGACCTGCCCATTGTAATGTGATTGGTTAATTCTATAAGTGGCAAGAGAGCTTCCTATTAGAAATTATGGTTATTCTGGATGTGTGTGTGGTATATATGTGAGCATGTTCTCTTTTGTGAGTGTTTGTGTGTGTGTGTGCATGTGTGCATTCACATATGTGTGTATGTTCGTGGCAACCAGAGGTCAATGTCAGATATCTTCTACCTTATTTTTTTGAGACAGTGCTTCTCACTAAACCTGGAGCGATGGCTCAGCAGATAAGACCCAAGTTTGATTGCCAGAATCTACTTATCTGCCTGTAACTTTAGTTCAGGGGGAATCTGACATCCTCTCCTGGCTTCCTCAGGGACCAGGTGTGCACATGGTGCACAGACAGATGTGCAGGCAAAGCTCCCACACATATACTTACACAAATAAATACAAATAAATGAATAATAAACAAGCCTGGAGCTCACTGACTGGATTAACTGACTGGCCTGTAAGCCTGGGGATCCTCTTGACTTCATTTGCCAGCCCTGGGAGACTACAGGCAAATGCCACCACAGCCACCTATGTGGAGGTTGGAGAGCCAAGCTCACTTCTTCCTGCTTGTGCAGCAGGCTCTGTACACGCCGAGCCCTGAGCCGAGTCCCCTTCCCCAGGGGCATTCTCCTTTAAGAGTTATTTTGAATACAGAGAGCCACACACAGCACTCATCTCCACTTGTTCTCTGTGGCTGTAAGCACCAAGCTCCCTACAGGATGCAGCATTGCTGGCATCACAGAGGAATTGGGGAGCAGCTTTGTCACCTAGGTGGAGAGCTATTTGCAAGCCTGGTTTCCACAGCAGTGTTTGCATATGGAGCAGCTGGTGTGAGAGAGGAAATGTGTTTTACTTCTTCCTTCAGATACAGCCTACGAACATCTTCTAAGAATGCGTTCCGCACATTTGCACACCAGTTCTCCCGGATGTCTAAAGAGGCTGACAGAAATGAGCGGCAAAGGGCCTGACCACCGTGGGCCTGTGCTGATATTCTCACAGACATTGGGAGAGACAGGGTTCCATCACCACAGCTTCTCATCTCCAGGGATGGGGATGTGGATCCAGTTGTTAAATGAGAAGCAGAAAAGTGATGGGGTCAGGGAGGGCAAGATCAAGCCAGAAGGAGACACTTGGGACCACTCCAGAAGCCTAGCCAGCCTTTGCTTTCCATCTTGAGTGAAGTCTGTCTCAGTCCAGTCTCTAAAGAGCCAATCAAACCCTCTGCTGGGCTAACAGCCCCCTGTTCAACACAGGCCTCTCTCCCCTGTGGAATACTCCAGGGAGTGGAGCTTTTGGGTTTCTCCAAGAGAAGGTCATGTAACTAAAAACCAGGAAGTCCTTACTCCAGCAGGACAACTGCTGGGGTGGGGGAGGTGAGCACTAGTGTGTACAGATGTGTTCGTCCTCAGAATTCTCTAATGTACAAGGACTGAAGTGGACACCATGTTCACTGGTCCTACAATCTGACAGGAAGATGTTTGATGTTCCGGGGGGCTGATGCATGGACAGGTAGACATGGAGGTCTGCCCTGTGCAACCTCCCTGGACATGGCCACCCTAGGAGCCAGCAGCGTCTTGGGTATTCTGGGATGTGGCTTCCTTTCCAGGTACCTACTAAGATGCCATCTTGAATCTTCTTCTTTTGATTTGGAATTTGCAATGACATTTCAGTGGAATTAACTGCCAATATATATTCTGCAGTTTTCTCAGAATGGTCCCCAACAAAGTGGATCAAAATTGCTGACCTCCTAAGTTATTGTCACAAAGACCCCAAACCTGGTGACTTAAAGGGCAGAAATGTATTGTCCTACACTTGAGCAGGCTAGAAGTACAAGATCCATCATGAGCAGGGTTGGTCCCTCCTCCTCCTCCTCCCTCCCTCCCTCCTTCTTCTCCCCTTCTCCTTTACGTCCTCTTTCCTCTCCTCCTAGTGTTCCTTTTTTTTGTTAGTCATATGCTCTCTCTGTGTACATGAACACGCATCTGTGTGCTGCACCATACACTTCTTAAAGGACACCAGCCATGATCGATCAGGGTCCCCCCAGATGACCTTGCTGAATCTGTACCACACTGTCAAGGTTCCATTTTCATATCCTAAGGGGCTGTGAATTTGGAACTCGTCACTGTGGAGCCCCTCAGAGCTTGCATGTTCTGCTCAACCAATGAACTTGAGTCAAGGAGGATGCTGGCATGTGGCCAGTTTGTTTATAGTTGCTGGGCAACTGCAGAGGAGTCTGGTGGTGCTGAGTCCCATCCCTGCACCTAGGGAGTCCATTGGTGAGCTCCAGGCCAGAGAAAGACCCTGAAGAATGACACTCCAGGGATACACGCACACACACACACACACACACACACACACACACACACACACACACACGTGCACCCTCCCACATGTACCTACACAAATGCACACACAATGGATGAAAACATGTCACAGAAGCCATGAGTAACACCGGCAGGGTGCACAAGGGTTCCACCCCTCTCTGAACCCAAGCAGGGTTCCCAGCTCTCTGAGGGCTGATTTCTAGGAGAGCCCACTTTTTGTGGTTTTATCTCCCAGCGTTTGGCTTTCTACCATATAATGCGGAATTAGTTGAAACACATGGAAAACATCACTCTGAGCAGGTGCAGGAACCCGGCAGCCGGTGTTGAAATGACAGCTGAAGCATGAACACAAACACCAGCGGATAAATGTGTGTGTAATTTTAGAGTTAATAATCGTGATGCATAATTTTCTTTGGAAGAAGGGCTTATAATAACGTTTTTAGAAAGTGCCAAGCAAAGTAAGGACATACTTGGCAAGCCACAGAAATGCAACAATTTGGCAAATGCCTCATTAGCCAAGTTCTCAGGTCAGGGCAAGGCTTTTATTTTATTTAAATGAGTACATTAAAATTTTGAAATACTTTTTATTTTATGGTTTTATTTTTTTCTTAGAATTACAATCTTGCCTGCTAATGCAATGTTTTAAAATGTATGTGGTTTTTTTTTTTTTTTTAAGTCTACTTGGCTACCGTGAGAGGATTCCTCATCCACAAATACTGAAGGGAATTGAGTCAAGAAAAGAAAACCAACCACACTCCCAGATCTGTTCCCCAAGAGCTGGCACCATTGTGTCCGTCTCCAGAGATACTAGACGTCAGCATTTCCCATGAACAGCACTGTGGCAGCCATTGAGCTAATGCTTGCAGAACTCTGATTGAAGACTAAGGTGGCATTTTCTGAATTTGGGGGAAGTGTTGTTGATAGTCGTGAATCTCAGAGTTGTAATGTCTGTTACTGGAGGCTCTCAGGTCACCCAAGTTTCAGAAGAAGATATGGTGTATGGTGATGTGTCCCCTTGGTCCCCTTGTCCCCTTTCATTTACACTGGTCCTCTTGTTCATCACTTCCAACCAGGAGCCGATCACACACTAGGCATGGAAGGTGGACCTTATGAACAAGGTGGAAGCCAGAGGGATTCAAGTGACTATCTCTCCTTCGGTCATCTAATGGGGGTGTATACTATTTAAATGCACTTTCTGCATTTGTCTTTCATTTATTTTAAAGCCAAGATAAATTAACATTGCATACAATACTCTAAATATTAAATAAGTATCAATCTCTTGCGTCTGTACCTCGGCCAGTTGTTGGTCTCTGCATTAACCAACATCTAAAGCAAAGGAAGCTTCTTTGAAGACAGTTGCACAGTGCGGTAATCATTAGAAGTCAGTTTAATACTGTGCCCGTTTAGCAGACTAACAGGAGTAGGTTTCCCTTGGGGTTATGACCAATCTAGCCACAGGTTCTTGCAGGACAGTTGTCACATGACCTCACAGCAGTTGACACAGCATCCACCAGCCCCAAGGAAACACAAGTCAAAGCCCGAGCATGGA